TTTGCTGAAGTTTCTAACCTATGGTGTGTGATGCTGCAGTTGCTTGTTGGTAAATTACCATCTGAAATTAGTGGTATAAAATCAAGGTATAAAATTCTGTGAATCCTGTAGCTGCAAAGGAGACAGTGTCTCCTGAACCTGATGGCACTGAGGACTGTGGAATACTACAAAGATCCTTGCTACAAAAAAGTCTTCTGTGCTGGTGCCATTCATCTAAATGTCTTTTTAGCTCAGTATTTGAAGAACATTTATGGCTAGCTCACATCCTACTATTATTAGTATAGTATGATTTTTTAAAATTTGCATCAAAAAGCACATTTATTTATGTCATATATGACTTAATCCCATTCCCTGGACAATCATCATCAGAATTTGTAAATGTCATTGAGTACAAGAGTGGGAAATAGGCAGTCCTTTTGCTAAGTAACTCTGACTGCAATAATCCAATTTTGTCAATTACTCTTTATCATTGCTCTTTTTCCCCCTCAAAGCTGACAGTTATTTTAATTTCTTTTCAGTCAACTAGACTAAAAAGTAACTTGTATTTTATTATGAACTGCACTTCATTGCTTCCCCTGGCCGACCATTTCTCATTTTCTGCTGAGTCTTCCACTGTGCTGGCTTAATGCATTAGTGGGGAAAATACCTTTGGACACCTATTATAGTCAACAAAGCTCTGCAGTGCACAGATATAGAACACACATTCCTTTTGGAACATCAGAATCCAGATTATCTGCAAGTAATAGACTAATGAGGGGTTCTCCAATGAGTCAGCTGATTGAAGGCAATCCTATTGCTTTAGAACTTTAGAGCTGGCTTTTATAGCTAACTTGTGCACAAGGATTGCAGATCAGTGCTGCTTCCCTGTGCTTGTGCTCATCACCAAAGGATCATGTTCTGCTTTTAGTGCTCAGTTAAAGAATTGTAAAAATGCTACTGTGATGTGGAAGGAAAGAAGCTGGTGGAGCAAATTCAGTACCCCTGCAAGCAGCACTAGGAACAGGGTCTACTAAATCTACTGGAAAGAGCAATGGCTATTTTTTAGATTGGATGGTGGCACTTTCAGGTGCTTCTGATTGTTTTCCTTAAAAAACAACCAATATTTTATTACTCCTTAATTTCTCAGTGTCTTTCTCTGCCTTGTCTCCCTCTTAAGACCCTCAGAAATTTACCTGAGGCACATAATCTTTCATTTCCCTACCTCATACATCCCAGTCTCAGAGTGTTTGATCTCTTGTACCTTTTCAGTCAATATGAAACCTCAAACCGAGTCATTGGATGTGAATTTGGATAGGCAAAGCTGTGGACATAAGTTGGTGTAAATAATGCAATGGTTTCATTGCTGTGGGCCCAGTGCTGCTTCATCCCACATCTATTTTTGCCTTTTGTTCTACATTTGCTCACCAAGTTGCCTGTGGCTGCCTGTGCAGTAGGAATGAATGGTGACAATGGAGCAGCTTCCCTCGGGCATGCAGTGACTGTGGGCACTCCCAGCGTGTCCAGCACTATCCAGCCCAGCACCCAAATTAATTTCTGTCCATAGCTGCTGTTGTTGGTAGGGCTGAGAATAGCCAGGGGCCTGCCAGCACTGCCAGATGTGAGAAACAGAGCAAAATGTGAAATGCCACAATGGTCTGGAGGAGAGTTAGGCAGGCAGACCCCATTCACTGCCTGTGCAGGCAACTCACTATTGGGAACACAGTCCACTAAGTCAGGCCTTGTGAGGGGAAGGATGAAGGTGAACTCCTCTGCTGGATGTATAGGGAGAAAGTGCACTTTCAAGCATGCTGCATTCAGTTTTCATTAAAAGAATTCTGAATTTTGTTTTTCCTGATTTTTAAAAATTTTTTTTCCTCCCTTGAATTTCCCTCCCACTACAAGATGATTTATGTCCTCTCTGTGGATAACCCTTACACCAGAAGGTTTGAGGAACTACTTTTGCCATCATATACATAAATTCAAACTGGCAAATTAAGTGTCAGCTAAAAAGCACTGCTTTTATATCCAATGGGAAATTTTTGCCTAATTGCTCTGGGCATCACCTGGCCTAATTGTAATTGGCTGGGAAAGGATTGCAGAGCTGCTGCTCTAAAATGTTTATTTCATCCTGGCTGCAGGGAGAATTCCTTTAAGATGTGATTAATGAAACAGAGAGTGGATAAGATGGAAGAAAAACAATGCCTTTGAATTTAAGTATTGCACCAGGCAGTTACGTTCAAGCACTCATGTGCTTTGTGACAGCACTGGCCTTATGGTTTGTGTCTTCTTGTGCCAGTGTCCTGGGCAGCCACGAGACTTGTGGAAGTGTTGACCAGCAAAGAGTGCAAAAGGGCTGAACAGACCAGACTGCAACCTCTCCATCAGATTGCTTTTGTCTCTGAGAAGGACTAAGCTCATATATTTCAGTATTCAACCTGCTGTTCTCCCTTGTTAGTAAGTACCCAGAGGCTAAAAAGGTTGCATCTCTGCTCAGCTTTAAAAACAAGTGAGGAAGTGTTTCCCCCACAGATAGAATGAATTTCATGCTTGCTGATGGCATTCTCTGAGGAGCAACAATGCTTCACCCTGTGGATGTGTAGTGCAGAATGGGACCTGGAGAGTTAATTGTTAATTATCCAGATGGAAAACCAGAGTAGGCTCAGAAGAGAACAGTACAAAGGAGAACACACGTGCAAGTTCCCCAAGTACAAGCACTTCATGCCATGTTGGGACAACCCTTCTGGATGGCTTTATAGAAGAGATATATTGTGTGGTACTGGAGAGACTTGTTTTCTTTGTCTGCCTTGAATTTTATGGAGAGGATATGAAAGATGACGTCTAGCAATTCCTAATCTAACAGTAACTACAACTAAACACAAAAGCTTTTCTGACTTTGGTTTATTTCTTCTGTCTGCGCTTTCTGCTGTGATATATGTTAAACAATTGGGTGAGACATTAGAGCCTGCAGTTCTGCTGCAATCACTCTGGCCATAAATCTCTCCAGTCCTGCAGTGGACAGGTTTTGCTTTTTTATTCAGTGGTGACAAATTACACACAACTTCCAGAGAGCTGTGCAAACCTGAGGTGCAGAGCATTGTACTCCAACCACCCACTCACCTTCATGGTGAAAAAAAACAAAAAAACAAGCAACTTCAGTTGAGTATGCCCACAGGAAAAGTATTTTTGTAAAGTACTGTCCAATGCACAAACGATCCTGGACAGAGTTGTAGTTACATTTTGTGCAGTCAATATTACAAGTCCTTCTGTACAACCTACATGGAAGGACGTGGCACTTTGTGCTCCTTGGGATTATCAGTCAGCAGCAGAAGCCCAGAGCCTGATGTAAGAGACAGGTGAGGTAAAGATGCAGGACCTGGGGCCAGTTTAGCTGCTGCCAAGCACTGAAATACAGGTGAAGGAAAATCAGGGCAAATTTCTGCTGAATTCTACCCTTGGTAGATCTGCATAATTTCCATGTACATTGATGAGTACCTATTGCTTTGTGAAAAGCACTTGGCTTTTAAAACTTGACAATGGCTCCCTGAAAAGAAAACAAAAATGAAAGACACAGGAATGCAATGAAGCCAAAGCCGAAACAAAGCAAGGAGATTTCAATTGCAGTGTTAATAAAAAATATTTTCTGCACATTAGTGCTCCCTTCAATAAAGGTACATTGTAAGTTAAAGATTTGCTTGCCTGTAGCATGGAAAAAAATATTTCCCCTGTTTAAAACCAAAGTTGTTCAGACTTTCTAGGATAAGAACTTGTCCTATTAGATTCAGGGACCAGGACATTGTAAATATAAATGTAAATATAAAATGTAAATATAAGATGTAAATATGTAAAGATAAAATTTAAATATGTAAAAATATGGACCTCATTGTTTCCAGAGTGGATAACTGGGAGCTGACTACAGGGTTTATGTATACTTCTGTAAAAGTTGTGGTAGCTCTAGCTAGTAGTTTTGTCACAGTTTCTTACTCTTCCTCTGTTAATTAAGAAGTATGTTGTTACAAGTTTAAACAGGTTTGGATTTTTTTTCCTTCTGGCAAAATTTCTCCTGCCAATCAGCTCTGAGGCTATAGAATTTTAAGGACCAGACCCTAGGTTTGTGGCATGTACACGACATAGTGATTGTTCCTGTGCACAGCATCAGCACTGTGTGACTTTGTGCAGACTTTGAGTGTTCTGATGCATCTTTACCAACATCCAGCTTCAGTAACACTCAATTCATAGTTGGATATCTTTTCAAGCCCTTGCTAGTAAAATATTGAAGCAGAAGTGAGAGATAGTTATGCAATTCAGGAGACTGGGTACAGTCAGTTGGAGGATGACAGAGAATAACAAGTTTGTAAATATTGGAGCTTTAAAAACAAGAAACAAAGAAACTTTTAAACTTTTAAAACTTTGCTTAAAAACAAAGAATTAAAAAAAAACCCCAGCAAAGCCCCTAGAATAATATTCCTATTTCTAAAAAATTTCAAAATAATATTCAGATATTTTATTCCAGAAAAATGTTTTGTCCAGCAGGGGGTTAAGTGTGTTTTGCAGACAGAGAACTGATTCATAATGCGTTTACAGAATTTCATGCACTAAATAAACTTAGGTGATTTTAAAATCGTCATTAATTTTGATAACATTTGAATTAAAAGCTGCCTGAGGTTAAATGCCATGTATTATTTATTTTTGTTCCACTTTCCTGTTTTCATCATACAAGAACCAAAAGTGTTTATTTTACTGGCAATATTAAAACAATCACATGATTTTGAGTAAGTCTTTTGAGATTGTTTGCAAGTTTTTTCTCTTCTGCATGTCTGCTTCCTCCCAGCTGGGGGCTGGCTGTTGTATGGAAAGGCCAGCCACGTCACGGAAAAGCCCTGTCTCTGATCAGATGGGCTTAATATAAACCAGGTTTGCTGAGGAAGAATTAAAGAGGCAGCCCCAGCACAGGAGAGGATTTACTTCGGCAGAGCTGCTCAGTGTGTCACAGCCCACCAAGAGAGAAGGGCACTGGGAGCAAAGGACTGGACTGGCTGCAGGAGCCTGGCACAAGTAAGAGTGGATTTGGAGCCAGTTTTTTTCCTGGAGGTGCTGGAGACCCAGGCAGCTAAATGCAGTATGGGGTAGCAAAACCAGTTTGAACTTGGAGCACAGTGTGTGACAGGGACTCGTTTGGTTTTATTAAATGAGGGATGACAGTTTGTTAGAGGCTAAATTGTGAAGTGTTTGTGATGGTTTTGTGAGTGACTGCTTGTTGCAGGTTATGAGGTACTTTTTGTTGTTTGACTGAATGAGATCTGACTTTCTTCATCTGGTCTTTTCAATGGGGAAACTGCAAGGAAAAGTGCATTTTGGAATTCAACCACAGTAAATATTTAATTTTGTTTGTGAAGCAGCCTTTGCTTAGTGCATGATTTCTTCTTTAGATATATTTCTAGCTGACAAAGTTACTGTGACTAGGACCATGCAAACGATCTCATTTTGCCCCAAAGTACTGCACATCACAGAGAAAATATGGTGCTTGCTGTAATAAGTTCAGACAGTGCTTTTTCTATATATTTGTCTTAGGTCCTGCTGGGAATTTATTCACAGAAGGTTTCAGATAGTTTTGTATGAAGAAGAATAGCAATTTGTACTTGTTGCTTTACTGTACTTTTTTATTGTTCATCACCTATTGTTGAGGTTTGAAAGTGGTTGGGTGAATTTTATGAACAATTATCCTATTTATTGATATGGAGGAGAGAGCAGAGAAACATCAGCTATAGGGCAAAAAAGAAAAATGTCTAAAGAATGATCACTTTGGGAGCTGGAATGCATCAAAGTAACTTTCCTAAAAATGGTAGCTATTGGCCTGTGAGAATGACATCACTCTTCTCTTGCCTCCAAGCAAGGCAAAATAGAGTTTGCTGAGTAAAATGTAATTAAAAGCTATGCTTATGTAAGAAGAGTGAACCTATCTAATTAGTTGTGTGGTAATGAAGTTATTGATTTAATATCTATAAATTAATGAGCCTTTTCTTCCGGTTATGTCTCCTGTAGAAGCTATAACTTGTACCTCCTCAGAAAAGCTACTGTATTTCACTACGTCCTCCCTCTTACCAGCCAAAAAGTCACTGTCTGAGGCAGAATCATTCTCTGTTTACCTGGCCACAGACAAGACCCAAATCCACCCCATCACAGCAAGACTTGTTTGTATGAATGCATCACTGCATTGTCTGAGAGTGCAGTGAATCATGCCTTATTGCATTCCCAAGAGTTTCAGCTCTTGACTGAGACAATGAGAAAGGTCCTGTACACCCAGCTGCACTGGCAGCCAGAGACAGCTGAGACCAGTGTCTCTGTCCCCAGTCCAGCCGAAAGGAGGTGAAATTGCCTGTACCACGGGCAGTCTCTTGGCAGGGCTGCAGCTGCTGTGTAGGACCGGTGTGGTGAGCACTGTCCCTTCCTGCTCCTCCTGGCACACAGCAATGCCTCCCTCTTACCAGGACTGGGCTGCATTTAGCACAGCCCTGAGCTAGTAAAGGCTAAACAAGATGGGATTTAGCATGTGAAGGTGGCATTATCCCTAAGAAACAGGCTCTGTCTCATTAGCTAATAACTAAAATATTTCTTTGTGCGCCACCAAGAGTGCAGAAAGGCTAGTTCTTCCTTTCTCACATATTAGGTCCCTACAGAGGAGCATGATGTGGCCCCTTGAAGCTAGTAAGAGAGTATTTCTAAGTATTTTGTGGTTAACATTTGTGATTTCCCTATTTCTCACTAGGGTTTAAAAATGACTCTCAACAATGTTACCATGCGTCGCACCCACAACAGCAGCCTGCACCAGCAGCAGCAGCGATGGAGCATCCCCGCTGATGGAAAGAATCTGCTGGTCCAGAAAGATTCCAATGAGTACAACCCACAGAAACGATACACCATCAGTCCTGATGAATATTACAGAAGGAGCTGGTCCTCGGAGTCATCCGACTCCGTCATCTCCTCCGAGTCTGGCAGCAGCTGCTACCGCGTGGTGCTGATCGGGGAGCACGGCGTGGGCAAGTCCTCGCTGGCCAACATCTTTGCAGGGGTGCACGACAGCATTGACAGCGACTGTGAGGTGCTGGGAGGTAGGTCATTATGTCCTGGGCTCTTGCTGCTTGCCTGAAGTCAGCTCTGCCTGTAGTAATTGGCACAGCAAAAGAGAGAGGCCGTTTAATATAAACCAGAGGTAACAAACATTTGGGTCTGATCATCAAAACTGATTGAACTCAGGCAGCTCTTTTAAGAGAACAAGAGAGCAAAATAAGATGAGTAGGATGCTCTCCAACAACTATTGCAAGCCACTGAAAGACAACAATTCAGATTCCCGTGCTATTTCATTCCAAAATACCTGTTAGAAACGGCTTCATTCCTGCCTGTGATGATGCTACACAAGAGTTTGCTTCAGATTTCATGTTGGTCCAACATTTGTGTCACCACTGGCACCTCAGGGCTGACTACAGCTTTCCTTGTTGGAGAGAAAGAAACTGAAGGTCCTCATGATTTACAAGAATTAAATACTTTAAAATCATATATTTGTCATTAGAAGTCATCTCAGTCTTTCTGTATAAACACATTGCCTTAGAACAGGCTGCATGAACTTGGAGTAAAATATTTTAAATTTTGAGTAAAAACCTTGTTTCATGTTACTTACAAAGTGTGGGCTCCTCCAGGAGGAAAAAAGATAAAGCTCCTTCAACAGAGTAGGAAAACTCCTGTTGCCTACTGGGGGAAAGACACAAGCTGTAGGGTTCTTTGATGCTTCCCCCTTGCTTTCCCCCCTTTCTTTGTTTAGAATTGCAGAGTGTTCTTTAATCCCAAAGATCAGACCATGCAGAAGCTGTAGCACCAAGTCCTGAGCTATATTGTGTACAAGATGTTGATGTGGAAGGATTGTAATGCCACAGAAATCTGCTCTAAGGATGTAGTTACTCTTACTTTCAGAGGACATGCAGTTTGGTGCTGGGTTTTGTTGGTCACTATGCAGGGCTTTCTTTGTCTCCCCCACATCCCTTCTGTCTCCTGCCTGTATTCCCTTGGTGCCAGTGCTACCACAGAGAATTTCTGGGCTTCTCTTCCAGCCTTCAATGGGGCATAGGCAGGACAGCTTCTTTTTTGTGTTTAACTATTCAGTTAGGAGAAGTTTTGCCCAGGATTTTAAAAAGCCCAGTATCAGGAAGGCCAGACTCACATTTTCCTTGCTTGCTGTCTCAGACTGGTACACAGAGATTTGTGCCTTTTGGGGATTTGGAATTCACTGGTTTAGGTGTGCTCTGCCTTCAGCTTCTGCCATTAACTTTTTCCATAGTTCTACCAGCTCTTCATCCTGGAGTATCTCTGATAAAAGTTTTCCCAGTGTTAAACGACTGAAGTAGAGTAGGATCCTTGGACAAGCCATCAGAAAGTGCAGCTTTTTGCCTGTTAGGCAGTTTTCTTCTCCTTCATATGAAGCCCTGTGGTTCCCTCTTTCCACTGCATTCCCAGCAGCATTGCTTGGAGTACAGCAGTGACAGATTTTCAAGCTCTGAAGAGATAATTGGAAGTCTTGCTGTTGTTATCTCTCATTTTTTAGTGTCAGCTTCAAAAACAGCATTAAATTAACTAAGCATTTACTTTCAGTGTGTTTTATATTCTATGGAAGTTCCTTAGGACTGGATATAACTGAATATCAGTGCTGAATATGACTGTTTAGGCATAATATTTTCAAGGAGTGTGATTATGCATTTGTAGCTTCTCTATATGTAATGCAGTGCAGGAGTCTTCTGGGTTTTGTCCTCTGGTGTGTATGGAGTTTATTCTCTCACAGATGCTCGGTCACTTGAAGAAACTATTTACTTTAGCTTTACAAACTGGAATTTTAGCTTACACACTGGAAATTTTATAACATGAGAGAATAGCTTCAGTGTAGCCAGCTCACAGAGGAGTACAGCTGCTTTTATGGAGAGCATGAACACAAGCCTCATACTCTTGAGACCTCAAGGGAAACCACTCCTAGAGATTTGCTGTCTTTTTAGTCTTGACATTTTAAGCATGGGCTCCATCTGACTATTTTAAATGTGTAATATTTTTGGCTTATTCTTTTGCTGGGCTGTAGATCCCTACATTTGATGAAAGGCTCTGATTACAATTTAGGGGAAAGTTCACTTCATCAGTGCACAGCAGAAATCTTATGAGGGACAGGTCAGACACAGTCCTATCTACAAGTGTGGTTGGGACAGATCCTTTAAATGCTGCAGTACTATAAGACTGGCTTTTTTTTCACTGACTACTAGTGTGAGATTAGAAATGGGTCCAAACCCCTCACTGGTCATCCTAATGTCCCTGGCTTGGGGGAAAAAGGAAGAAAGATTGTTATTTGAAGCAAATTTCACAGGGTTGATCAAAATTCAGAATGGCAACAGCCTTCTTAGATCTAAGTAAAATTTTGCTACATGGCATTTATAATCTAGATATGAATTTTTATGGCTGCAGTACAAAATAACTTACCTGTGCTTTTTTCATTTTTCTGCTATTTGACATCAAAGGTGATGTGGGAAACTGTGTAATGGGAAAGAGTGTGCAATAGAAGTCTCAGTGTCTCTCAGACTCAGCAGCTGCTGTCTCACAACACCCTGTCCCTCTCACTTGGTGGGCTGTTCACTGTATTGCTCTCAGCAGCAGTGACTGTTCACCCGTAAATTGTCCATGCTAAAGCGAAAGCAAATATTTTCCATTACTCAGCCTCGCTGGACTCTGCTGCTCCCATGGGGCAAATGTTCAGCCTTTGGTTATTTCTTCCACTGGTTCTATTTTCTCTCTCCCACATAAGATAAAGAGACTATCAGCCAAAATAATGAACATTTTGTTTCCTGATCTTTCAGCCTCCTTCATCTATCATGGAAAGTAAGGCAACCAATAATGAACAGAGCATAGATTCAGTGCTGATGGAAATGAGGAAAGAACTGGATGTGGGCCGGCCTAAAATTTGGCTCAATAACTCTGTGAACAAATCCTCCACATTCAACAACTTGGAGTTTTTTAATGTATATGATGACTCACAATAATATATCCTTAACCTTTCTGCTTTTTCTTTCCAGAAGACACGTATGAAAGAACTCTGATGGTGGACGGGGAAAGTGCGACTGTTATACTGCTCGATATGTGGGATAATAAGGTACTTTAATTTGTTCTAGTCAAATGCTGAAAGTGTATATGAATAACTGCTAATATAAAAAGTAAGTTTCCTTTGGGAAAGAAAATAGGTGTTTCCATACATCAGAATCAGGGAAGAGATAGGATTAACCCTACCACGCATCAAGCCAAGCATGCCTAATGGCTCTACACTATGAGCCTGAGAAGTTCAAGTCTTCATTTTTTTTATCAATAAAGCAAAACATTCAAGCTTTCTTTCCAGACCGTGTTCATTCCAGCCTAAAGCCAACACAATAAATTATCTGGGGCAAGTTTTTGCCCTCCTTTGTGGTGAAGTATTCATACCATCAGCACATTGGAATTACTTGTAGTATAACTGTGATTCAAACCATACCCATTACAGTTTACAGCAGGAATGCATTTGGATTCTCTAATGTTTTACTTTCTAAGTAAAATCTGCTCTGGGCATAACGCTGTCTGACCATTTAATTTGAACAGCGTGAGGGAGAATGGATTCGAGACCACTGCATGCAAGTGGGAGACGCCTACTTGATCGTCTACTCCATCACAGACCGGGCGAGCTTTGAGAAGGCCTCTGAGCTCAGAATACAGCTCCGCAGGGCACGCCAGAAAGAAGACATCCCCATTATTCTGGTTGGCAACAAAAGTGACCTTGTCAGGTGCCGTGAAGTTTCAGTGGCAGGTAAGGAAATGATGAGCATAAACCCGAGATAAACATTAAAAGCCATCTAGTAGCTTTTGGACAAACTGCAGTACTCTGGCTGAGGGAGTACACTGTGATCAGAGTTGGGCAATAAAAGAGTAATAAAATAAAAGAGGACTGGAAAAGAGTGCAGAGGACTGGGAAGGGTCTGCCAAGTCCTTAAGCCTTCCTTGGTAATACTGTTATATGTCAGATAATCCCTTTTCTATATTTATTAAGTACCATCATAAATGGGATTTCTTCCTTTCCAGCTCCTAGTGTAAGACCACTGCAATATGTGATTTCTCTGGTAGCTGGAAACCCTTTGTATTCCCAATGCATGTTTATGCATAACAAGTTTAGCCCCCTTTATTCTGCTGCCAAAATTTCTATTCTTTATAACCAGTTCTCTGTCCTCCCTGATGAATTAAAATTCCCTCTCAATCGTTGTTTTGCTAGTCTGGGTAGGAACTGTGCAGCCTTTCAGAAAAGGTCTCGTTACTGCCTTGCTTTGGGATGCTAAATCAGCCTTCCCTTGGCTGCACACAAATGAATAACCACTAAGCCCATAAATAGGAATGGAGTGACTGTTGGAACACTGCTGCTGGCTCTCAACATCTGCAGTCAGTAAAATCTCTTCTTGGAGTGTCTTCCCTAAGACTGACACACTCTAATACACAGCCATGCATTAGATGTTCTTATCTTGGCCCATCAGAAACATGGGTTCTTCTCTCTGCAGCTGTTCTGCTCTTCTGTTTCCCAGTTGAGCTAGACTTTTTTTGCTTTCTCTGTGGACGTGTGCAGTTCCTCTGGCTCCTGTCACAGCTGCTCCAAGTGAAGGGCTTGAACTGAGAGGTTCATAGGGACCTCAGAGTTGCCTTCTCATTCCTCTGCCCAGCTTTCAAGTTGTTTAGAAAGATGGCAGGTGAATCCATGTTACTTTAGTGGCCCTGGCAATGAATTCACAGCAAGCCAGAAGAAAATAAATTGGCTTGTGTGTGAAAGACAGCTGTCAGGTTTAGCTTAGGCTCATGTAATTGAGAAGAAGAACCATGATTTCGGATGTACCCCTAAAGCCATAGACACCCTTTATTAGGGTTTTGTACATGTATGTATTCTCACTGAAATTGCCACAGTTCCAAGGCTCTGGTTCACACCTATGGCCCGTGGAGGAGCAAAGTGCCTTGTGTCCAGTGCTGTGTGCCTGGAGAGTGCCATCATCACCCTTCAGTGCAGCTTGAGGGAGTCTGCATCAAAGGTGGCCAGGTGATGTTGAGGCTTTGCTGACCTCCCAGCCTTCAGTGTCCCAAATCAAATCCGTCATTCTGTGCTACCTTCACACCAGCAGTGCAGGCTGGGCTTTACTGGGAGGGGATTAACCCCCCCCTCCTCTGGGAAGCAGCTGTGACACAGGGCAGATAGATGGATCACGGGCTAGCAGGGAGCATCAGGTGATTAAAGACTTATCTGTGCCTTTATCAGGCTTGAGGAATTCCCTGGTGGCTCTGACTCCCCCGCACGTGGCAGCTTGTCCTGGTCCCCCCTCCCTGTGCCTTGTGGCCCCATGTAACCATGTGTCCACCTTGGATTTTGCAGAGGGGCGAGCCTGTGCCGTGGTGTTTGACTGCAAATTCATTGAGACGTCGGCAGCTGTGCAGCACAACGTGAAGGAGCTGTTCGAGGGCATCGTGCGGCAGGTCCGGCTCCGGAGGGACAGCAAGGAGAAGAACGAGAAGAGACTGGCGCTGCAGAAACGGAGAGAGAGCATCCCCAAGAAAGCCAGGCGGTTCTGGGGCAAGATAGTTGCCAAGAACAACAAGAACATGGCCTTCAAACTCAAGTCCAAGTCTTGCCATGACCTATCAGTACTTTAAGAATACTGGACTCTGACAGAGCTTGTGGCATTTTGTGGACATTATCTAACTTTGTCATAGGACAATCAATCAATCTATATTAGATTGGGCTATCAGTGACTTAGGTTCACATTGTGATTGTGATGTGCTGGCATAAGAACAGCACAGTGCATGGAAGTATCTCTTCCTTTTTTTTTTTTTTTTTTTTCTTTGTCAGTAGTTTTAAAAGTATAGACCAGAATGACCCAAAATTATGCTGGGAGCTGTTCTGGAATACACCTGTTCTTTCTCCTCTCACCTTTGAATAATAGTGTAAGAACCTCAAACTCAATAACTTGGGAAGTGAATACTACTGTCTTTACTCTTTCTCCTTCTTATTAACATTTCTTTTTTAAAACTGTGTAAAGAATTGAGGAACTGACTGGAGATTTGTCCCTTGTCAGTTGGCTGGTCAGACTTGAGCACCCACAGCTGAAAAAAAAAAAGCATTTTTGTAGAATAACCACAAAGACACCTGTTCGGTATTTTTTCTTTATTTTGAGGATTAGTTTCAGTGAATTTACACGTCTCTTACTTTAAATATTTTCAAAGGAAAAATCCTATAGTCAAACAAATTTTCCTCTCATGTTTTCATACTATGGGTCTGTTTAAAAATCATAGTAAAATTAAAGTGCAAGTTGTATCAAAGTGCATCAAGTGCAGGATGCCAAACCTTTAAAAATCACCTGAGCTTTTTTTATGCCACTTCATGGACTTCTTGTATCCATCCTTGGCCTTTCTCTATGCCAGAGCTATGCTGTATTTATTGTTGTGCAAAATAACAAGCATTTTAATGTCAAGGGAAAATGTATTTATTACCAATTTTCTTAAGATAATAATGTTAATTTTATTACCATTTTCTATTCAATATCTTTTTTCAGATATGCAAGTTTTTACATGCCTTGTAATAAAATAAATAAAATGTATGACTGCCTTTGAGTCTCAGTAGAAAATCCCTAAGATTGTTTTCGAGTAGAGAAAGGATTGTGCACACTGGGCAGATTTGCTGCTAGGGAAGGGCAGTGGGGATTCCTTACACCTCTGAACACAGACTCCATGCAACCTAACATCTCAAGGCAGGAAGCACCAGGAGCCTCAAAGATGAGTGCACAATATCCCTCATATAAAAATGGGGCTGTGGTGACAGAGTTAAAAATTAATCACTCCTAGCGAAGGTGTTTGGCCTTTAGCTGTAAAGACTTTAGAAATGTAGATGAGTGCTGTTACCCCAGTTTTGGAGATGAAGAGAAGTGAAATGAAACATTGAGGGACAGAAAGCAGGTAGCTGGCATGCTGTGCCCTAATCCTCACTTGCTCTTGGGCATATTTGTGCTACTTTCCTCTTGCCATGCTGGTCAGAGTGATGACTGTACAGTAATGACTCTACATTTTTGACCACGTGACTCAGAAAAACCAAATCTCCAGCCTGGCAGCTCATCTTCCCAGATAATGAAGGCAAAAACATGTAACACTAATAAGGTGAAACTTGGACTCCCCATTTTGGGCTGCACAGTTTTAATATACCAAATGCTCTGGACAGGAATGAGCATGCTGAATGTATGCCCACAATTTCCTCTGCTGAGGAGATGATTTCTAGAAGTTCTCTAGGGGTAAAACATCCCATTGCAGAATGGCACAATGCTTGTGAGGTATTAATATCTCCCTGGAAAGAAATTTCTGATCTAGAATAAAGTGTTGACAAGAACAGAAAAAAGAAACCTTTTGAAATGAGCACAGAAAAGATGTTGCTGGATTTTGGATGAATGCTTTCGAGCTGTCAGTATGCAACTTAAGGTTAACCCAGAGCAGTCTAGAGAATTTGGTTTTCAGAACTTTTAAACTCTCTGAACCTGCCCCCGTTCAAAAATGAAAACAAAATTGCACAAATTAATTTTTAAGATTGTATTTATTAACTGAAAGTACAGCTGTATGCAAGCAGCACATTTCCATAGTCTGTTCTATATCTGTCGAGCTACAAATCTAAACCAAGCAGGTTTTGAAGAAATGCAAAGTGTCCATGTTGACCATACACTCCTTAGGAATAAAAGCCATCCATGTTCATAACATCATTATGATATCAGGATCCATCGACGGCATGAAAAAAATTTGGAATTGCCCAGTAAGTTTTCATATCCTCGCTCATCTCCTTCCACTCCTTCCAGGATAACAGAATTTCCTTCTAAAACATATGATTTTTCAAAGAAAAACCAGCGAGGTAGGCCCATTCCCCTGAGATGTCACAAGCTGCCACAAAGAGCTGTGCAGTGGGCATGGCATGTCCCCTGACTTTCCCTGTTCACAGCAAGCAGGCATCACTGCAATTCCATCTTCTGGAGCGGCTCTGAACAGCACAGTGCTGCCTTTGCACCAAAAAAAATTTAAACATGTGCCTCCACCTTTCACGTCCCAGTCAACCTCTCATGGCCCTTCTGGTTCACCCTGCAGGCTCCATGCTTGCCTTAGGTTTTCAGGCAGAGCATGGGGGAAGCTGTAGGGTGAAAATCCACTTGTAGCAGCATCTCCCCCATGGAGCTGTAGCTCAGACATCACCAGAGTGTTTTATTTCTCACCTGTGTGTGTGGAGTGAGAGAGCTGGTGCTGAGCATCTACACTTTGCACGTTTCAGGGCTTTTCTTGTTTTGAACCTGATCTAGTCTGGCCTGTGGATTGAATGTCCACCAGGGACTGCAGTGCCTGAGATGCACTCCTGAAGGGCACTGTGAGTTCCACCTGAAGGAACCCAAACCATCTGCTCTGATCTTAATGGCTACAGCAAGCTGGATATGGAGGAAGGGCTGGGGTTTTCCCTTGCAGGTCTGAGATTAATCTGAGTCATGATTTTAGTCAGTCATCACCAGATTACCAAATACAGCAACTCTTACTATTTATAAAAGCTAGTGTACCTGGAATGACTGATTAGAACTAATTTACTCTGGAATGCTGATATTTCAAGTATTTAATATCTTTAACAGTCCCTCTGTTCATCTCAGATGTGAGTGTCCAAAACTGTGGAATGGATCAATCAGCGATTCTAATCACTGTTCTGCTGTTTATTAAGTCGGGGCTACAATGACAGATCCTAATGTGATAATTACAATGCTGGACCCAGAGATTTGGCAGTGGCTGTGGAATACGTGAGTCACAGCACTGAGCACACCAAGGCCAAAACGGCAAAAGTCACAGAGTCCAAATAAAATAAAAGAAAATAAGTACAGAAAAAAAAAGTCTAAGAACACACAAAATGCCAATTATTGTGAAATAGCTGTTATAAAAAGCTCTCTTCAAGAAGATAGATCAGATTTGTAAGAGGAATTACAGAGCATGCCCAGCTCTGTAATCTTTAATCATGACAGATGAGCTGCATAAAGAAAAGTTTAGTTATGCTTTGGTAGAAAACACACTTACTTGTTATTATGGCACTATGTGGATTTGCAAGGTGCTTGTACTTGGGAGAACTATTGATAAAATTTAGTCAAGTAAAAGAAAGATATTTTCAATAAAATCAGTGTATACACTGTGGATTTGACTCTCACAAGCCTTTCAACACCAACCCCATGGAAAGCTATGAAGACCTGAGTCCTCTCTCTTGGGCTTTTTGGGGTTCAGATACAAATGGAAGAAAGGGCTCTTTACAGCAGCAGTACTGATGAAGATAATGGGATCTACAGAGGGCTGCTGCAGAGGAAGAAAACAGATGAGTTGTGTCTTTACAATCTGCTACAGCTCTTCTTTCTCCTTGGGAAAGCTTTTTAGAAACAGCTGTGGCACACAGAGAAGAGACAATGTACTGATGAGATCCCTGGAGTACTAAACTACTGACTCTCCAAAAGTAAACCCTGCAACTCATTTCTTACAACACCTCTGAAGACTGTAGAGCTGAATGAATCGTGTAAATCATTCCTGTGCCTGACCCACAAGAACAGGAGATAAATGAATGTGAGCTGTGGGGCTAGTCATCCTCTGGCTATCTTTCCTGGACTAACTCATTGCTCAGTGAGGGGGACAAATGCTGTGGGCTGAGATGGTGTTCAGCACACTGCAGGTTTTATCAGTTGTGGCTTCCAAGTGCGTTAAATAATATTTAAAGATATTTGTCTGCCTTGCCTGTCCCCTCCAGTTCTGGTTCATTGTAATAGCAAGGACAGAGAGGGAAGAAAAAACACACACCTTCTTTTGTGTTTTTTCACTTGTAAGACCCATGCAACTGTAGGTTTGAAGTTGCACCTAAGACACATGTAGCATCTTGTGTTAAACTCTTGCTAACATGTCACATTGCTGGGCATACACTGCCAGCACTTTTAAACATGGCAGACTCTATGGGAGGTTTATAGAGTGACTTCTAATTCTCTAAATGTAACCCCCTGCAGTTAAAAAAAGGGAGCACCATGTTATTCTCTTCACTATGCTCCAGAAAGCTGTGGAGAAGCCTTGTTTTGTGCTTCCAGAAGGGACCATGGGCCAGATGTGAAGATGCAATGCAGGGTAGGGATGGCTGCAGGAAAAAGGGTGAATCCCAGCATATGGCATGACCAGAGAACCCATGATGTTAGTGTGCAGTCTGACAACTTCCCCACCTTCCCCTCTTGGCACTGTCACTCCAGAAATCTCCCACAGATGTTGCAGCAAGCCCCACTCCTCCCTCAGTGACCACCTCACATAGGGGCCTGCAATACTTCTACATTTATCCTCTGTAATCACAAATGTGACATCATCAAGGTAATGTTTTTTTGTTTGTTTTTTTTTTTTCCTTTTTCAGAGCCACTGAAATTCACTATGCAAGTTACTTGTGATTTCAGCAGTTTTACTGCAACTGCTGTCAGACAATGGGGACAACACACCCATAGGAGAACACACCAGTCCTGTGTGCCTAATTTTTATAGTGCTACCTGGAACATGGTTAATAATTTCCTGAGAAAATGATTAGGTAACATACTTCCTCTAGTCTTGAAATTTATGTATGAGTCATTTTGAAATGAAATTACTTTCTAAATAGGAGTTGTTTCTGATACTCAGTATGTGTGCATTCAAAAGCCTCCTGTTAGACACAAAGGTTACCCAGACAAGACCTTTGACTTCTCTTTGGAGAAAGGCAAGTGGGAACTTCAATGAGCAAATTCAGACTGGCACGTGGATACACTGAAGGATGCCTGACTTCAGCTCCTGTATCTGTATTAACTGCATGCAGGGACCAGCATTTTTTCCCCACCTGCCCTTAGTGGGTGTGGCAAACCTGGGACACCATGTCCCCCCCAGACCTGGCACTGCCCACCTGAGCTGGGGCTGGCCCTCCCATGCAGGGATGAGGGGGGAGCTTGGTGACTGCTCCTCTGGAGGAAGGACCTCCAGCTCCACTAAACTTTGCACCCATTCTCTGATGCAGGGGATGTTTCACTGAATTGCTCACTGGTCTAATTTCACTGAGCTCAGAATGGACTGCAATAACTTTGGCATGGCCAGGCTGTATTTTTGTGTGGCTTTCAGTAACATATGTGTATTTCTACAATCCACAGCTTTGCTCTCACATTGCTCAGGATGTATTCCCTCTCTATACACCTTGATCCTTGAGTGGTGCCCAGTGGGATGCTCTCAAGCTTTGCTGCCACAATTTTTAGCTGCTTCTTAACTTTATTCTCAGTCTTCTACGCTTTAAGGTTTTCCTCCTTCCTTTGTGCAATCTTGTGTCATGAATGGCTGCATTTGCTCCTCCTCACCTTGCTCCATTCAGAAGTAAGCCACTGGAGCTAGAATGCTCCCTTAGCACCCATGGTAGGATTTGCAGCACATGAACTTTGACAGAGGCAGCTCCACTGGCATCTCTGCTGGGGCTAGGGCGGTGTGCCCAGCTGATGAAGCCCTGGGAACAGAGGTTGCCAGGGCAGCTTAGAAAAGCAAATTGATATTCCTTGGTTTATGGACTTCAGACTGCCCCTGGATAATTATCAAAATACAATCTACAGACCCAGAGAGAAGAAATGCCCTACCGCTTTGGACTTGTGGTGCTTCCAGCTCTGTGCTGTTTCTGAGAAAAGAGGGCAAAGCAGCAATAAGAGATGCTGTTTAGAATTTCACTCGATATGTGAAACTGAAATTATCTGCCATTTCCCCCTCAGCCTTCTCCTCTCCACACCAAAAAGTCGAAAACCTGTTAGTATTTCCCTTAAGGCAGCTGTTCCAACCACTTAACTGTGGTTTTTGCCCTTCACTGTTCCTTCTTTAATGCTCTGAGAGAGAGAGAGAGAGGCTGCATTCATTCTGCTCTAGATGCTACATTTTAGAGAATGATAAAATATAGTTCTCTTTCCTGCATTAGAGAGTGATAAAACATAGTTTTCTTTTCTGCTTTCAATCCACTTTTTGACTATGTCCCATGTGTGTTGGCATGTTTGTTGACACATTTGGCTGCCATTACACACCATGTTCAGACCACAGCGAACTGTGACTGCTCACCTGCCATCTTTCTTATGAGATCCTTCATCATCAAAGATAGTTTTTATGTTAACTATGCTCCATTCAAAAGCATCTCTTTCATGCAATATTTTGAAAATTACCAATTTGCAATGCACAGCTTTTGTACTAATTAGGGATTTAAAGACATCTGTTTGGTTACCGGTTACAACTTCCATATCCTGAGTGCAACAAGGCTTTTCTTCATAAGTATTATCAGACCAGGACCTTGTAGATACGTATCTTATATGGAAACCTGAAAAGAGGTGACACATTGGTAAAGGGCAGCTCTGTCACCCCTGCCAGTGTCTGGGATTGCATCATACAATGAGGAGGAAGACAACTGCCTGCAGCAAATATGCTTGCAGATTTTTGCTCAAGCAAGTTGTCTGGCTGATGTTACTCATTCTGAGGACCAGACAGTGTCCTTTTTATCAAATCTAGAAA